TCAAAACTCATCTCACTAGGTTCAGTTGCTTGTAGCTCAACTTGAATCCCATCAAGTTCCCTCTTAAACCTGTCCTTCGAGCTCGCGTACACCATCTTCATTCGAACCTTCGATGTGTCGGGTGACCTAATTAATCACACCAATGATATAACATAAATTGTTGTGTAAGGCAGATTAACGATTACGCGAGTCGACGATGTGAACAATGCATACTTATACTATCAAATGTCATTCTTTTTATATTGTTTTTTTAAAGTATGACATTTTCTAATGAGTATATATATATTTGTGAAAAAATTATTCTAAGTTGTAACAAAAGATTAAGGAAATGTATTAATTTGGGTTGACATTTTGAAATTTTTTTAGATTTGAGACTTTAAGATTTTCAGATTTAGAAGGAATTAAAATATTAAGTTCGTGAACACCGTCTTCATTCGAACCTTCGATGTGTCGGGTGACCGAATTAATCACACCAAATATACAACACAAATTCTTGTGTGTGGCAGAACGGTTCGGTGAGTCGACCTATATATATATATATATATATATGAACAGAAATGCATACTTAAACAATCAAATGTCATACTTTTGTTTATGTTTTTCGAATGAAAGTAAAGAGCCATTTGCCTAATACATTCTCCCAATTTAGTGTATGAAAACTCGAAAATAGATTTAGATTTTACCAAGCAATGAAGAAGATCTTGCTCTTTTGGCAATTCTCGCTCGTGACGAAGTCAAAATCGTAAACGGCATAACGGCACTCGTCTGGGGGTAAGGCTGCGGCGAAATCGTCGTAGTCGAGGGACGGCTGGCCAAGCTTCTCGACCACCACACGCTGGCCGTCGATCTTGAAGATGATGTAACGATAGTTCCTCTTGGCCTTTAGATCAAGAAACCTCAGCTTGCAATCATCTTGCACCGCCACACCAGACACGGCATTCGCCTGTACATATTATCACACAATCGAGTTTTGAGAACGCTCGAGCTGGATTGAACAAATTAAACATTAAAAGAGAGAAATGGAGAAATAATTAGTGTTGAATTAATATTTTACCATTTCTGTTGTCCCGTTTATGAAGGAAAAGACCTGCAAAAAAATGAAGAAAAGAAAAGGAGGGAATAGGTGAAAATAGCAAGTTTACAAGTGTTTAAAAAGAGTCAAATGAATGGAGGAGAATAAGATGGATATATAATTAAGGGTCAGAAATTGTCTAAGTCCCTCAACGGTTAACATTTACTTGCTCGATTTTGCTTATGAATTTCATTCACTATAATTCCCTTTGCATGCGCATGAAATACAGTTCACAATTTGAACCAAATGCACATTACAAATGATGTTTGCTCACTAAAAAGAGAAAAAATGTATCGAAGTATTTAAAACCTCAATATGTGCCCACAAGAAAGTATCAAAATCCTCAACCAACAAAACTTAACAACTTTAGGTCCATCTTTTTCCTAGGTCTTTACATCTTTATAACAAATACAACAAAACAATTCATAACAAATGGAACTGCAAATCCTTTAAATTCACAACAATTCAACGTTCTTTCAAAACACGACTTCCCACCTAATGCATGAACTATAAATTTCCACACCTAATACTTAGTGGGTAATGTACAAGATGCTATATATAACATTTGATAGTTTATGAAGATTTACCTTCTAATAAATTCCACAGGTATTCTTGGGACAATTTTTACTCAAATGCCCAGTTTCATTACATATAAAGCAATTGACACATGAAAGTTAATGTACTAAATTATGAAATAATTCAGATGAATAAAGTCCTTAGGGAACACAACCGAGCAAGAAAAGTAAAGTTCATACTACGTATTCAAATTAATGAAAGCATGCACTCAATTTCCTATGTAGCAAACCAACTGTTAGAAACCTTAAACCTGATGAACAAAGTGATCAAGGGCAAAGCAGGAAATTCATGTGTGAGGGAGCAGTTTTAGCATGATCATGCAATACGGTTGTTAGGCAGTTATAAGGCAATGGGAAGTTAGATAGTGTCCAGTTATTTTCCTGATATTGTAGTTTGTTGTAATATATACATGTATGAATAGAGATCAATTATGTAAGAAAAATACGATCAATAAAAGAAGTTTTTTTCAGATTCAAAGTTTCAGTGTTCAGTTTTCTTCATTATCTTCTTCGTGTTCATGTAAGGATTTTATTATGGTATCAGAGCCATAAAATCCTTCAAGTCTTTTCTTTTATTTTGAATTATGGGTGAACACACTCAAATCACTGCACAAAATGGAGATCAAACGATCCAACTTCAAGGACAGCTTATTAGCATCAAGCTGACAGATAGCAATTTCTTGCTTTGGGAACAACAAGTCTTGGCAGCCATACGAGGATATGGACTTGAGGGATACATCAATGGAGAGATCACAACTCCTGAAAGGTTTTTACCATTAGCCACAACTTCTGTTCTAGAAATCAATCCACAATATTTGAAGTGGATGAAGCAGGACCAATTAATCATGTCTTAGATTCTATCTTCTTTAAGTGAGAGTATTTTGGTGTCTACTGTTGGATTAACCACAGCTAAAGCTGTTTGGGACTGCCTTAAATCCAGTTTTGCTAGTCATAACAAAGCCAAAATCATGCAACTAAAGCTTTAGTTGCAACCACTGAAGAAAGGTAATTCTCAGATCAAAGAATACTTCAACAAAATGAAATCCATTTGTGATATGCTTGGATCTGTTGGTGAGAAAATTTCTGAGAATGATCAAATCATGTACTTATTGAATGGTTTGGGATCAGAATACAATGCTATCATTGTATCACTGACA